CAAAGCAGACACATCTTTGTCTATAGAACTTCCCAACTTCCTGTAATTACCCTTACATACTCCCTTGCTTGGAACTGTCTTACCTCTGAAGAATAAATGAGGCCACTTTGTAATTAGTTGGTTATCCCTCACCTATTAGAGAAGGGCCAGTAGCTTCTCTAATTGCTGATCTCTGGCTGACAGCATCACTATGTTACGTGGGAATAAAACAAAACAAACAAACTTATTGGCAGAGAGAAAGCCTACTAGTAATAACTTTTCATGAACCTCTGGAGATGACTCCAAATCGGTCTAGGTTTAACACAGATTTTTTTTTTTCCTGTCTCTTATTCTTTTTTGGGTACAGTTTTCAGTCAATCATGTGTATGAAGAACTATTTTTTTAAATGTATTCAGTACAGGGTCTCACTACATAGCTTGAACTTACAGTGATCCTGCTGTGTCAGCCTCCCTAGAGCTGGCATTACAGGCGTGCACCACTATGCCTGGTCACAGTGGCCAGCTCAGCACACCTGGGGGTTGGGGCTGGCTCAGCCTGTGGTGCTGGGGATTGACCCCAGTCCCTATGCTTGCTTAAGCAGGCACTTGCTGGCCCTTGTATTTTTAGTCCCTTACACATTGTTCTACTTCAAAGAAATCTTTGTCAAAACAACTGAGTACAAGCCTAGATGTAGATTATTCCCTACCTCCTCAAATTTTAACAGTCTTCTATTTCAAATTTTATTGTTTCAGAATAGTAACAGTAGTTCCTTTCAAAACTTGGCTGTGGGGGGCCAGGGAGATAGCTCAGTACAATAAGCACTTCCCTGGCAAGCACAAGGGCCTGAGTTCAATCCCCGGTTCTGAAAAAAAAAAAAAAAAAAAAAAAGTAGCCCAATTACTGATTCAGCACAAAACTTCCCTCTGTAAATTCACTTATTGGGAACTACTTGTCAAATCCCTATAATTGTGAAAGAATAGGATTTTGGTGGAGGGCAAGAACACTGGAAAGAACCCATTTCATTTAGGAAAGATATAGTACTACAGGGAAGAGAATGTACATGAAGAATCTAGGGGGCAGTTAGTGGTAGAGGGGGCATGAGGCTTGGTCAGAGGATCAGGGAAAGTGGATTCTCTTTCTCTCAAATGTATTTGATACACGATCTCACTACACAGCTCAGACTTGCAGGATCCTCCTGTTTTCAGCTCCCCAGCACTGGGATTACAGGTGTGCACCACCATGCCTGGTCTAGGTGGCTGGCTCAGCATGCCTGGGGGAGCGGGGCTGGCCTGCATGCCCAGGTTGGGACTAGCACAGCATATGGTGCTGGGTATTGAACCCTGGTCCCTTTCTCTTTGTTTTTACCATGTTTGCCAACTTGTCTTGGTGGTTATGGACAGAATCACTTGCTCTGTCGCTTATATCTGGTAAAATTTGATTTATTTAGGTTCAAAATTAATGTAAGTTGGCTTCACAACTTCATATATATGATGTAGTGACTTGAATTGGGCAGTTCTGTGCTGAGATGCTATAGTCTTGTAGCCTATCACTTGTAGGCTGTAGCTGTGTGTGTGTGTGTGTGTGTGTATGTGTATTTGGTTGTTACAGGGACTCACTACACAGATCAGACTCCTGTTTTCAGCCTTCCAAGCGCTGGGATTACAGGCACAACATACCAGGGACTGAATCCCAGTCCCTGTGTCTGCCTAAGCAGGCGCTTTAATCCGCTGAGCTATCTGGCTGGCCCTATGCTCCTAGTTCTTAAAAGCCAAAGCTACTACTGTTGCTTTACTACTCTGTAATTTCTAGATTCTGGTTGACTGTGTTTTCTTTATTTTTAGCTGCATTTAGAAACAGCTTCTCCTTACTCTTAATTTCTGATTGCATTTCAATAGCAATCAGTTATTTTGAAACATGAATGAAAATTTAATTACTTAAAATTAAACTAGGATCTCAATAATTTTTTGGCATTCAGATTGTGTGCTTATTTTACATGTTTTTGCTGTCAGTTTTGGAAGTCACAGAACAGCGAGTGAGCATTTTCAAGAAACTGATAGCATAAACTAGGCGTGGTGGCACATGCCTGTCGACCCAGCGCTTGGGAAACTGAAGCAGGAGGCTGGCTGCAAGTTCAAGGCCAACCTGGGCTACTACATAGTGAACCCCAGGCTCCAAAAAAGGAAAAGACAAACTGGTAGTATGAGATAATATGACGGGGTTTCACTCAAGGGATTTTAGGGGCTTTTCTGGTAGTTAGGATAAATTCATGCCTTAATCTTCCAACTTCATTTAGTTACATGATTGTTAGAAAAAAATGGGAGTGGGGTGAAATTTTGTAATAAGATCTTTCTGTTCCAAACCAGGACTTTCCAAGAAATATTTTCTTCAAATAATGATCACAAATAGTGAAACTCCCTTAGTAATTTCACACATTCACACAGCTTACACGCCTCTGGGTGCTTGCTCTTGAGAGCTGCTTTTTTTTCATAAATCAACCAGGAATTATACCCCCCCCCAATACAAGCACAGATCTCTTCCCACATAGGACATGCATGAGAGGCAAGCAGTTCTTTCTTTCTTTCTTTCTTTCTTTCTTTCTTTCTTTCTTTCTTT